TCATTGATGACTTTAATAGTTAACATAATATATTCGAATATTTATTTTATTTTAAATGATTTTTCAAATCTAACATATTTAGTTATTTTTTAATCATTTGGCACTCTTGTTGAACCACCATCACTATAATTATCACTATCACTATCAGTATCATTTTCTATACGAATATGTTCTTCTAATTCTTTCCTCATTTTTTCTGCTTCCTTAAAAGTAATATGACAATCACTTTCAATATGGTTAGCAGCATCCTTCATTAAAAAAGTTTCACCACATTCACACTCTACTAATTGTTGTAGTCTTTGCTTCCGGTATTCTTGAATTTGTTTTGGTATATCGTCGCCGAAAAACCTTACTGGTTCTTCATATATTCTTTCTTGAAACATTTTTAACATTCTATAATATATAATAGATTTATTTTATTTTAAAAGCTTTCTCAAATCTAACATAAAACATATTATTAACATCTTTGGAATTCATATTGACATAAAAGAAGGAGTAGGGCTTATCATCTACCGCTTTATGATACATATTTAACAGTTGCTCTTTATCAACGATGGCCGAGTTTTCCTCAATGAATGACATTAACTCTGATACATTCTTTAACTTGAAGATATACAACGAACTAGAATTCAACCTAATGATTGGTGCTAGGACACGATATTTTTGAACGCTTAAACAAAAACTAATGGCGTCGTGCCTGCCTCTCGTTGCCAGTCCATGAAGTAACTTACTATATCTAACAAATCTAGGGTCGTCTGCAAAATCATCAACTATGATTAAAATTGAATGTAGTTTCTTCATCTTCTGTTCTTTCATATAATGAATTATCTTTCTTTGTGTGTTAATTATTTCTTCCAGTTCTTCAGGTTGGTAGGTGTCATAATATAACTTTTCTTTTTCATCATCAACCTTCATATTATCTTTTTGATATTTCTTGACTTCAACGAAGGTAGGGTCATTATGAACCGACGGGCTAAAAATGAATATACGGGCGAAGCAGTCCCTATAAACATTTAGGATAAGGTTTTGAATTAAAACTGTTTTGCCACCCGTTGATGAAGCAACAACAATTGAGCGAAAAGGTAGTTTTGGTACATGTTCATATTTAGATTGTTTGAAATCGTAATCAGTTATATTTATTGGTTTTATTATTGGAACGTTTGTCATAATTGATATTAAAGATATATAGAAAATTATATTTAAAAACTAACTTGTAATTATTATTAAATGGAACATCTTTATGTTATGAGTGGTTGTGAATAACATAATGGAACAGGTTTTCCATTGCTTCAATCAATAAGCATTGAAGATAATTAGTTTTGTGTCTCGCTCGCGTGTGCAATGAAAACCCCAAGTGCTGTGCCCCACCAATATTCTATTATGCATGAAATAATAAGATTAATTAGAATAATTTATCTTATTATTTAATATGGATAGAAGTTATTCAGATTATATTGATATAATAGATGAAGTAGAGAATATAGAACAAGTGATAATAACTGACAACAGATGTAAGAAAGTATGCTTTTATACATTAGAATTAATAAAATTAGGAATACAATATATCAAAAATAAAAATGTAAATATTAATATAAATGGGAAAAAAGAAAAACAAAAAGAATAAAACAGATACTACAGTTTCTTCAACAGATGAAGACAAAGAAGAAGAAATTGTTAAAGAAACATCAGTTATTGAGTTTGCTTGCCCTATGTGTAAAAAGATGTTAGCAATGAAGAACGAATTAGAAATTCAAAAGAAAGGAAATTGTAAATGTTCGTGTATTCCGACAAATTTCAAATTGAGCAAAAACGATAAGAAAATGAATATTGATAAAACTAAAGACAGTATCAACTTAGAAACTGATGTCCATAATATAACTTTTAAATGGGGAAGGCATGCATCACCATCCGATAATGGTGATAACGAAGCACAGGAAACTATTAAACAAATGATGAAAATTTAGTATTTAAAGAGTAGATTTTACATTAAATCAATTTTATAAATAAATAAGTAAATAAATAAATATCTAATTATTTGTATAATCATAATGCCAACTATGAATAGAGAAGACCATAGAGTTATAACTTTTGACGATGAAGAAATTAAAGACCTATTCGATGGTGATAAAAACTTTGCTAAACAATTGAGCGAAGAATACTTTTATTGGTTTGATGCTAAATTCAAGGATACATATTTTATGAAAGGTATAACCAAACCAGATAAATTTGATAAAATATTGAAATTTTATGAACTCACAAATGACAAGGAAGGTTTAATAAAAATGAACAATAAAATTGGTGAAAGACTGTTAGAATATAATTTATTTACATATGTAACATTATATTATTTAGGTAAACTGTATAATAAAACGCATAAATAAATATTTAAATAAATAATTATATAAATAAATATATATACAGAAATGTCTGAAGTTGAGAATGATGCTATTGCTGAACTATCAAAGAAGATAATGACAGTTAGTAAAAATGTTAAACTGTTGTACGAGATGATAAAAACTATTGACCAGAAACTTGATGCAAAGGCAAACGAACCAAAAGATAACAATGAAGAGAAGGAAAAGATTGATAAAGTTTGAAAAGAAAGGGATAGGCAGACCCAGCGGTGATTATGACACGAAGCGTAAAAAATATTGTGATATGTTAAATAAGGGACAAATCAAAAGTCCAAAAACAGAAACTATTGAATTTTATAAACTGTTTAAGAATGAAGAAGGAAAATTCGAATTAATATAATAAACCCGTTTAAAGAGATACCATATTAATATGATAGTAATGGATACAAACCGATATAGAAATGGGAAGGTGTATAAAATAACTGATAATGCTTATACTAAATGTTATGTAGGAAGCACCTGTGAAAGTCTAAGTCAGAGAATGGCAAGGCATCGTAAAGAATACAGAAACTATTTGAAGGGTTGTAAATATTTCATCACATCCTTTAACATCTTCAATGAGTTTGGTATTGACAACTGTAAAATTGAACTTCTTGAAAACTGCCCGTGTGATACAGTGGAAGAACTAAGGAAAAGAGAAGGTCATTACAAACAATCATTGGATTGTGTCAATAAACAGACTCCCGGAAGAACTCAAGCTGAGTATAGAGAGCAAAACCGAGAACAAATTAATCAACAAAAGCGAGACCACTATTGGAAAAACAAAGACGCCATCAGTGAAAGCAAGAAACACAAATACACCTGTGCATGTGGGTCTGTTGTTGGTATTGGTGGAAAAGCAGAGCACGAACGAAGCAAAAAGCATCAGCGGTTTTTAGGGAACATTTGTGAAGAAGAAGAAGAAAAACAAAGGCGAGAAAGAAAGAAACAACAAACATACCAAGAAAAGTTGGAAAGAAACAAAGTAAAATACACTTGTTGCTGTGGTTCAACGCTCCGAAGAGGCGATAAAGCATCACATGAAAAGACCATAAAACATCTGCAATATCTACAATCAATAGAGGATGCCATCAAAAACTAAAGCAGAATGGGGGGATAATTATGTAATACATAAGCAGGAAGATTTATACAAAATACCCGCTGAATTGATTTGTGAGATTTTGACGAGTTTGGTGGATTAAGGAAACGAGTCTGGGGTTGGGATGGGGCATCCCCAAAAGCTGGGATGGGGCATCCCCAAACAATGAAATTTTGGGATGGGCATCCCCAAACCATGAAATTTTGGGATGGGGCATCCCCAAAAGCTGGGATGGGGCATCCCCAAAATCTGGGATGGGGCATCCCCAAAAGCTGGGATGGGGCATCCCCAAACAATGAAATTTTGGGATGGGCATCCCCAAACAATGAAATTTTGGGATGGGGCATCCCCAAAAGCTGGGATGGGGCATCCCCAAAAGCTGGGATGGATGAAAAATGACAAGTTGATATTTATTTAACCCATAAACCTTACAATAAAAAACATTGTAAGATTTATGTTTTGAAATTATGGGGATTTTATATTTTGGGATTTTGGGATTTTGGGTATGGTATGATACAGGTTTAAAGGTAAATTACCTTAGTAAATTATGGAGAAGCAGTATTGCAAAAGATGTAATGCAACTAAACCAGTTGAAGAATTCAACGGAATAAATAAATATTGTATAAGGTGCTTGGAAAAGGAAAGGGAAAAACACCAGAATAATAAGGAACAAAGACATCAGAAAAGCAAAAGATACCGTGAAGCACATAAGGAAGAAATAAATGCCAGAATGAAAGAATACAGCAAAGTCTATAATCAAATTGAAGTATTTTGTGACATTTGTCAGTGCAAAGTCAAAAAATGTAGATGGTCGGAACATAAAAAAACTCAGAAGCATAATAAGAATCAGAAGCAAAAGGAAACACCGACTATTATTGAAGAAGCACCTGTTGATATTGAAACAATATGAATTGAAATTACACCATACATTTTACAATTAAATTATTGAAAAATTTATGTTCAATGTTGATTTGGGAATTTTAGAAATTTGAAAGTTATATGTTGAAAATTTAGAAAAATATTTGCAAAATTTATGTATCAAATCTTGAGTTGAGGTTCTGTTATGAATTGATGAAAAAATATTATGTGAATTGGTCGGTTGAGGGGATTGTATATTTTGGGATTTTGGAAAAATATATTTTGGGAATTTGGGATTTTGGAAAAATATATTTTGAAAATTTAGAAAAATATTTGCAAAATTTATGTATCAAATCTTGAGTTGAGGTTCTGTTATGAATTGATGAAAAAATATTATGTGAATTGGTCGGTTGAGGGGATTGTATATTTTGGGATTTTGGAAAAATATATTTTGGGAATTTGGGATTTTGGAAAAATATATTTTTGAAAATTTAGAAAAATATTTGCAAAATTTATGTATCAAATCTTGAGTTGAGGTTCTGTTATGAATTGATGAAAAAATATTATGTGAATTGGTCGGTTGAGGGGATTTTATCCAACTGGGGCAAGGTCTTGGGTAGGTCTAACCCCTCCCTTCCGATTCCGCGGTCCTTGGTGGTGAGGAAGCGATGCCGCCGCGACATGGAGGCCTTGCTCACCCAGTAGGGGTCCGTGGAATCCTCGGAACGTCGAGCCGCCGGCTTTGGTGAGACGCTGACCCCGGGGCCCTGAGAAACCCTTCGTCCCGAACTGGTGGACCTCCAACCTGGATGGTGTCCCTTGGGCCCCAGTGAAAGCAACCCCAGTGATAAGCTCAGGTGATATCCCCAACAGCATGCGGTGCTCTTGTTACACCCCGCAGCCTCGCAGAACCTGGTGGAACCCTTTTGGAAATGTGGTGGAACCCTGGTGGAACCCTCGTGGAACCTTACCTCAGGGCCGCCCCGGACCACCCCGGAGCCTATCTGGGCTGAGACCCCAAAGCTTGCAGCTGTTGGGGAAAAACATAACACTTGGTGCCTGCGCCCTGTCCGAACCAACGATCCGTTTCGTCGAGGTCCCGGCCCAGTGCAGGTCGTTCTCCGGGCGGTTGCGGCAGATCACGAACTTCCTCGCGATCCGAAAGGCGGTTCTTTCGGGCACCAGTCTAGGGGTTGATTCCCCATTCTTTTCAAGCCTCGTTCTTTTCAAAAACCGGCCGATCCCCTGGATTCTGGAGCATTTTCTAGAAAGAAGGATCCCTAGAAAGAATGGGGAAGGTACCCCTGAACCAGGAGCTGTCCAAGAAAGCACAGGCTTGGCTGCGCTGACAAAAAGCCAAGGGTAGAACATCATGGGGGCTCCAACAATGGGCAAAAGATCATGAAAACTCCAAGCCAAAGGGAAGGCCTCCATTTTGGGCTCCGAACCAAAGGGTACAACCACCATTCTGTCACAGCAAGCCCCATGAAAGTCTCTTCATCCACTTCAGCACATGTCTTGGAAGTGATGCTGCATGATGCTCAAAACATTGTCTCTACAAGGGGTTCCACCCGTCCCTGCATATTGACATGGAGCCCCAACAAAGGGTGGGAGGGGGGTCCCACGCCCGAACAAATTTGAGATCCCAAAAAAAACGAGCCAGTCTCCTTCCACTCCCAAAGCCGGCCCAAATTCCCGCCAAGGCTCTGCTGATATTCGCCCAGAGCCTGCTGCTCCCTCTCCATGTTGGGCTGCTTCAGCAGCCTGAAACCGGGCAAATCACTGTGCAGGCCAAATTCATCCACCCATAAACCTAGGACCCCCCTCCAATCACAGAAATAAGATTAAGCAGGCAAATCGCTCTCATTCACAGACTGGACATGAGGACTGTCTGTTGGACACTCATGGGTCAGCTCTTTTTACCCTGTCTAGGATCATCAGAAGTTGTGCAGTCCCTTGTCATGGCCGAATTTCCCAATGGCTGGATCAAAGCCAACCCGACGCACCCAAAAGGGTCGCCTAAGTGACGTTGTCGGACTGAGAGTCAACAGCCACAGCATCCTAGAGACTTTCCGGAAACAGCCAAGCAGCAAAGCTGCCCTCAAAAGGTCAAGAAGCGAAGGAGAAAGCAATGAGGAACGAGAGATTCTAGAAAGTGCATGTCCGATTCTTTCATCAGATTCCACAAAGGCCGCACAGGGAAATTCATTGAAGGACCCCTGGTTCAACCAGGGCCGGTTGGGGGCCCCCTCCCTCGCGTTCCGTCAAAACCTGCGTCGAGATGCCCCTTCCCTGCGCGGGCAAAGACGTTGAAGGGCTTGTCTCCGGTAGAGAGCATGCCTGGCACGCTGGCATTTGCCACTCAAGAAAGACCTGGTGACTTTAGTGGCCTCTGTGCCAAAAAACCCTCGAACTTCTTGGAGGGAATATACGCACTTTCGCAAACAAGCTCAGGGTTGAAGGTTCAACCAAACAGCTAAGAGATCACTCCATGTCTGGGAGAGCATATTTCAGCGCAAAGTGACGCGTTGCCTCCATTCAATCCCAATTGTGTGTCCCCCAACCCCCGACACGGAACCAATCTATCGCCCACCACCAAATCCCCCGACTTCCCCACCCACCCCCAAATCCTCCACCTCCTGGTAGCTCCTTAGCTCCCTCTTCCACAAGGCCAATTTGGATACCCCAGCTCCTTCGCCCCCTTCCTCCCCGCCCCCCTTCCACCCGAACCCCGCCCCCCCCCCAACTCCAACCCCCCCCCCCGGCCTGTGGGCTCCAGGAACCCCGCGTTCGCCAGCTCCCGCTTCAGCGCCCCCACCCCGCCCAGGTCCTGCCGCAGCGCGCGCCGCGCCTCCCGCAGCTCCGCCACCTCCGCCACCCGCGGCGCCACCACACGCAGCTCCTCGCAGCGTCCGACGTGGAGTGACGGTGGCAACACGTGTGTTTCTTTGCGTTTCTTTAAGGTCTTTGGAAAAGGTTTCCCAGGTTGTGTCGTTGGTTTGTGAGGTTTCATGTTGGTTTGGTTTGGCTTCTCTGGCGTTGGAGTTTTGTGCTGTTGTGTCTTTGCTTTCCTTTGTTGCTTGTTGTCTGCCCTTGGTGGGGTGGAGAGACACACGCAGGATCACTGATTCTCGTTTGTTGGCTTGTTTTTGTTCAGGGGTGGGGGGTAAGTCAACGGATACACTTTGGGCATATTGAACACCACATTTAGCTGGGTCCCCTCCCGGCAACCTCCTCCCCCTGGCCCATCCTTAGTAGTCATTCGGGTCTCTATTTGGGAAAAAGGGATTGGGGGGGGGGGGGTGGGGGAGGGGGGTAAGGGCGGATTGAATCCTAAGGAGTTCACCACCCCCTCCCAGAAAAAAGAAGCCGCCCAGAAATGGGTGGGGGTGGGGGCGGTTTGAATCCTTCGAAGTCCCCCCCCCCCTCCCAAAAAACACACACACACACAAACATACACGTTGCGCCACGACCCGGGTTTGAGCCTTGGGGGAACCTTTAGCCAACCGTCGATACGCAGTGGTGTGGTCATCTTTGAAAGGCTCGGAGCACCACTGCAGTGCCGTTGAGATGGAGAAAGCTCACAAGTCCACTGCACGCCCCCGCAAAAACGCATGACAAGCCGCATGTTTGATCGGGTCGAAGTTCTGATATGTTCCACCTGAACCGGTCCCTTTTGCTGAAAAAAGCGGCAAGGGCTTGAATGACCGACATGCAGCCGTTGAGGAGCCCTACAATTGATTGGAAGAACCCAAATCAGAAGATCGGAGCTCTGACAAATCAGAAGTGGCAGTCCTGCTTGTGTCAAGCACCCGATTCTTTGCATTGCCCCTGCTAGGTCCGTGAGTAAACAAAGTACCACAACAAGTAGCTTCGGAATCAGAAACCGTGTCAAATAAAGGAAAGAATCTTGCCAGCCTTGTTCCAAAGAAACAATTGCACCAAACCTGGACATCTGCGCCCTGCTTCCGTCAAGGAGAACACTGCTTGCAGCCTGTTTGTCGTCCTTGGTGAAGCAACCGAACAAGCTGCAGAGTTGATTTGCCACTACCTTTTTCCACCCTCCTCCACCCTCTCCGCCCCCCACCCCTCCGCGCGGATAGAGGTGGCAGCATGGTCCCAGCGCAAGCTGCTGGCGCTGCCGCTGCGATGCATAGCACCGCGATGGAATCCGGGGTACAACTGGCCCCCTCTTGAGAGAAAACAACCTGAGGTTGTTCAAACAGGTGCCTAGACATGTTTAAAAAAGGGGTCGGTCCAACCCTGATGCAATCCCCGGATTCGGAGTAAAGTGGTTGATCCATGAGCGCACGTCCAAGCGGGGATTTACCAAATTGCTTCGGGAATGCTCCTTCGCCACCCTCGCAGGCCAGGCTCTGTTCAGGTTGCGTGCGTGTGTTGGTTCTCACTCTGACCCTTTGGGTGTGATGCCCAAAAGCCGCCAACAAGTGGCTGCATTCGAATGTGTGTGTGTGTGTGTGTGTGTGTGTGTCTTTCCGGATGTGAGGTAGTTCGCATGTGTGTGGGGGTGTGTGCGCATGCGCCTGGGCATGCACATGTGCCGAAATTGTCTGCGTATGAATGTCTTCAGCAAAGGCAGATTGATTTACGTCCGACCTTCTCCTTCTGTCCGACTTGTTCGCTTGGTGCATCTTGGTGCAGTTCCCTTTCTTTCAGCTACACTGAGCCCAAGGGCTCCAGACACATCCAGAGTGGTTGCATCTTTGCTTTAATGAAGAGCCCTCGCACGTGTGGTGGTTCCGCTTGAGTTTTCATGATGAACAAACTATTCAAGCAAGGACACAAAAGTCCATATTTTCAAACATCTGAGTCTCAAAAAACAGAATGTTGTTTTTCCGGCTTGCTCGGCCACGAAAACCACATCGGGTCTGGCCGCCCCTCAAAAATTCCCACTTCAAACCTGAGGCCTACCCCTAAAGGAGCCTGTTTGGAAGACCCGACAACAAAAACTTCCATTGAATCTACAACGGAGCTGCCCACAAAAGATTCATGCCATCAAAAACGTGTCGCGATGATCTGTCGCAGAACTCCGGCTTCGCACTCCAAAACCTTTGTTTGAAACGTTGCACCTTGCTCAAATCACCGGAAACTAGCAGTTGAAAACACAGAAAAGGAGGGATGGGTTTTGGTATGTCCGAAACGAACGATCGGCTTCGGTTGGTTGGGACCTAATAATACCAAAGGGCGCTCCAACTAATATCATGGCGCAATGCCGTGCTGGATACCCCGCCCCCTTTCAGCCCGTTTCGGACATGCTACAACCAGAACCGTCAAAAGGACCGGAACTTCAAGAAAAGGCCAAGCGGCTACTTCCAGGAACAAAACTATAAGACCAGATGTTAAAAGATGTTAAAACCTTGACAAAGGCATAAAACCCGAAAGAATGAAACAGAGTGCGCAAAGGGCTTTGTCTCCAAAGGGAACCTACTTCTCTGCCTTCGAGCTCCCTCCACTTTTCCCTTTCCAACCCCAACTTCGAGCGGTTTCTGTCACGAGTCCTTCAGAAGCTCCCGGCACGCCTTGCTGTCCGTCCAGTCCAAGCCTGGGTTCTAAGAAACCGGAAGGAAAGTCTCACCAGTTAGATGAACCCCGGCGATTTGGTGGATGTTTGAGTAACTTCTTGCAGGTGTTCCTGCTAGCTTCTGAGAGGGAACAAGCGACCTTGGGCACTGGCATGGATGCCGCGAACTGTGGAAACAAGTTGAAACACAAGTTGCGTCCATTTGCGCTAGGGGGGGGCGCTACGGTTGGACCCAGCCCTTGGTTGGTCTTTGAAGGGAAAGGCATGACACATGTGGGGGAGTCTCAAGCGCGACTTGTTTAAGCTCGCAAGGAGAAGCTTCGGGCGCCACCCGGTCCTGGTCCCAACCGCTCTCCGGCTTCAAAGAAGCTCCCCGGTGCAGAACCTGAGGTACTGTCCTCATTGCCTGAGAAGGGGGTCCGGGTCCAGGGCGGACCTATGGGATTCCCATGGACCTTATGTGAAATCCCTTTGTTTTGTGTTGATTTTTTGCAGGGACTTGTTCCCAAGAAAACATGGGAGAAACAGGGCCCGTGCCACCTGGGTTTTGTGGTCCCCACAGAATCAATAGACCGCCAGCGAAACAACGCCACGTTCACGCGGGGGCGCGGCTTCGCCGCGCCCCCCTAAAACCTTGGGAGGGCCGAGGGACGAGGCAGCAGGGCAGCCCCATCCTTGACTCCTTTCCAATAAATTCAGAAACAATCCATGGCGCTGGCTCCCAGGCAAACTGGTCCAAGCCATTTGCGGCAAGCCATTTGTGGTTTCCCATTTCGCCATTTGGCTTTGGGTCAAAACCAATGGTACCATTTTGGGGGTAGGTGTTAGTCTATTTTTTTGTGGGGATTGGGATGTTCACTGAAAATATGGGAATTTGACCCCTGGCCATGTGTGGCGTTGGAGGATGGGAGTCCCACCCCTGCAGCCTGGGGCTTTTTCTGGGCCAGCCCACGGCGGAAGGCGAGGCGGAGGCCCCGCGCCCGCCTGAGACGGCGCCGCGCGGGGCGGTTCTTGCATCTTGTTGGGGGGAAAAAAGTGGAAACCTGGCAGCAGCAGCAGCAGCAGCAGCAGCAGCAGCAGCAGCAGCAGTAGTAGTAGTAGTAGTAGTGGAAACACAAGGAACCGGGAGGCAGGGAGAGGGAGAGTTTTATTGTAAATTGAGGGAGGAGGGATCGTGCTTCTGGCGCAAAGATACAATCTTAAATTCCCACTGGTGGCTTTCTTCTTACTTCTGGCAGGACAAAGGCCAGCTTCCCTTTTTTGATTACCCCCAGACTTGAACACAGGGGTGGCTGAGTTGCCGAGGGGAATCGCTGTGCGGAGCATTTCTCCTTCAGCAGCACATATGCGCAACGCTCTGGAGCAAGGAGCTGCCAATTTATCACAGACTCACACGCGCATTCTTGTTGAAGAGTGGTCTTGGAGAGAACTCAGGAATATATGTTCGGTCGAAATATAGAAGAGGTTCACCATGGGGTTGGGCCAAGAGAGAGTGCCAGATGGGAACCACAGTTGGGAGAGATGTGTTGAAGGCGGGATAGATGCGCGCCAGACATTTTGCTATACAGATGTTTTGTTCTAGATGGGTCCACGCCAAAAATGCTAAAAATGGGTAGGGAATGACCTTCCGCGTCCGGGTGTTGCGATGAACTGGCTTTGGGCATTCCCTTAAAGCCAACCACCACGTGGATTGCTTTTTCCTGGGGTCATTCCCATTCTCATGCCCTGCATCTCTCGCACCAGCACGAAAAAAACACGTGCAAAACCAAAACAACATCGGCAAATCTGTCACGTGATCTATCTCCCGGCCTCTCGGTGGCGCTCTTCGCGCACAAGGTCAGCGCCTCCTCGCCTGAGACGAGTGCAAGCAACAAATCCCAGGGGAAGCAAACCAGCGCGACAGATCCCCACGCCGACTTTGATCCTATGCTTGCCCAGGGTCCGGTCCAAAAAGGGGGACCGTAATAGACCAATAGGAGCTACAGCGACAAAACAAGGCCTTTTGGGGGCGAATAGCGTTCTGTTTTTGGGGGTCCCCTCTTTGGGGGGGGCCCTGCCAACCATGTGAGAACATACTCCAACTGCAAACGAGGTGTTTGAAAAAGCCAATATAGCGGAGAAATGAAGACAATTGACACGCCGCGACCAAAGCGCAGAGCGCGAGTAGTTGATCTCCTCCAAATGCTGGGCTTCATATCGGTTTTCTCATAAAGTCTTCAAAGCAATACTCTGAACATCACCTGTCATCTACACTCCCCCACCAACTGAGCCTTCTCCAAACTCGGGTCCCGGACCCCTTCGCTTCATGTCCCGCAAGACCCAAAAATGGGAGCGGAATGCCCTTGGGATGTTTCGGCTCTCAAGGCTTGGGCCACGCGCTCTGGTCCGTGGCTGTGACCTCCGGTGAGGTGTCGGGACCGGGTTTCCCAAAGGGGGCGTTTTCTGACGGGCTTCTTCCCTGGAATTGGGTGGAAGGTCTCGAAACTTCTGAAAAAAATCTGCCACTTGACGTGTCCTTTCCAAGTGACTCGGGTCCAGGAACTCCACTTTGGAGTGCCTCACAAGCAATCCCCCCCCCGGCTTCCTTGAAAACCTGGCTGAGTCCCGAAAGCAAAGCATCTTGTGGGGCAGGGTTCCAAATGACCAAACGGCAACAGAGTCGGTACAGGGCCCACAGAAGAAAGGCGCCCCAGAAACAGGTAACCATTAAACCCCAAGACTGGTTTGCATTGGTGGGAAAACTCGTGGTTCTTGTGGGGGGGTTAATGGGAAACCACCCCCGGAACAGCTCCAAACCACCAATCCAAACCACCAGTTTTCCGGGCGGGGTGACCTTCGTGCCGTGGATTTCAAGAGAATCCAAAAAATCCGGAAAGCCGCCCGAGAAAACAGACCGCGCCCATCTGCAGCCCGTTCTGCTTAAGCCGGACATGGCGAAGGCCCAGCCTCTGCCCCCAGCAGCCCGAGGGCGAAGGCCAAGAGCCCACAGCCGCAGCCCAGCCTCGGGGAGCCCCATCAGCGGCCAGAGGGCGACACCCCGCAAAACGGGGCCTTCTCAGTCTCTACTGGGATTGGAGGGGATTGCTTGGTCTGGAGAGGTGTAGTGAAACTCGCCTAAAAGCACTCTTCAAGCTATGGACATGTTTCTTCAGCCGGTGTTCTAACAACCTGCTTTTGATGTCGCTTTCAAGGGAAGAGAAAGACCAGTCTTAAGTTTAACACATTGCCCCACTCCCGCAAGAGTCAACCTGCTAGCAAACTGCCATGGTTCGAAACCCTGGTTGACAAAATGTGTCGCGTGTCCCAAGAGTCAGAGAGCCTTGAGACACTGCCAAATTGATTCCTCCGAGATGAAACCCACTGGACAGGGCTGCCTTCGCCAGTCTTCGCCTGCTAGAAGTTGCTGCTGTTCGACGATGGATGTCTCCTCACGCCATGCATAGGGCGCGTAGAGTGCGCCAACTTTGTCGATTGGATTCCTTTTGTCTCCGTCAGCACACCATCTGACGAAGCAAACATCAACTCTGGTTACCTCGCCCGACGTAAGGCAAGTCCATCGACAGAATGAGATGATGATAATGGGATCCTGCACGACTGCTGGCGGATAAAAGACTAAACACTGCGTAGGGTGATAGAACATTCGGGCGCGAACGCCTAGGGCGTTGAAAGTGTTAGTGTGTTAATATGCTAGGGGTTCAAGGGTATTAGGCCGCCACGGTGATGGGGTGTTAGGGAATTTCGAGTTACTGGGCCCATCAAAGCAGCACCCTCAAAACACCTCTAAATGCTGGTTTAAACGGGCAAAAACAAGCTTTCTCAGCTGCCTCAAGAAGAATTTTGCTGGATTGGAGGAAAGGGTTCATTCAAATGGCAAAGGTAACAGCAATCCTCAGCTGGATATCGGCGGTTCCAAGTGACGTGCGTGCATTGAGCTGCTTGAAAGCCAAACCACCAACTTTCCTTTCAACACTCGATTCCTGAGTGGATTGGGAGAAAAGGCCCAAACTGCTTGTCGCTAAAAAGCGGTCAGCCCAAAAAGTTGCTCTAAAGTCCCTGAACTCAGGGAGCCTTCTCATTTGCCAAGTGGTGAAATCGACTCCCTTTAAAAAGCCAACCAGGGGGGGAGAAAAAGAAGCAACCCCCAACTGAAAAATGCATCTTCATTTCAACGCAAATTAGCACTCCAACAGAAACCACGCCTGGCCCCCCCAAAGCCCGAAACCGAGGTCTCGGCTCCAGCACCTTCCGCCGGAACCTCGGCTCCTCGCTGTTGCGGCACTGAGCCCTCGGATGGGTTGCCCCTCGTCTTTTGGGGGTTGGGTTCACTTCTTTTGGGGTTGACTCTTTTGGGGACTTGGGCCAAAAAAAAGGTGCAAACGGTGGAAAGGGACACCCAAAACCAAGCCATCTTGCGGGGGTGCCCAACATTTGGGGGCCAATTTTGGGGTTGGTGCAAACGGAAATCACCCGTTTAGAGGTCCTCCCACCTTGCCACGCACCCAAACAGTTTGAAACAGAAATATTATGTGTTGGAGTTGTTTCTTTTAAAACTTATGAGAAAACCAATGTGTATATTATTAAAACCAAACACCAATTGTCGTTGTTTATGAATACCCATGAGTTGCATCCCCTGGGTGGACTTTACAACCCGTCTATTTTGTCTTCAAGGGGATCCGTTGGCTTAACCTAGGGAAAGATTTGTTTGAAGCAAGGGTTCAAGGGTGTATCTGCACGAACACCCAAAAACACGGAACTGTCCTTTGGCGGCGAGGTGAACTGACATTATCCCTTACAGACCTTCATCTACCCGGGTATTGATTGTGTCTCACCTGGCCAAGGGAAACTTTCAAGTCTGTTTGGACACGTGTTGCCGTAATCTGCGCCATGTGCGTCTCTCGTCAGATCGCACATCAAAACTGTTCTGAATACTTACTGGCTTGCCCCCGCCCACAGCAGGACCATCGCTGGAGTCAAAGAAGCATGACACCCATGCATGCTGTTGCCCAAACAAGAGACCCATTTCAGTTTGAAGCAACATCCAGGCACAACTGACAAGGCTCACATAGACCAGGCGACAGAATAACATTCAGCACCCAGACCCAAAGCAATTTACCCCCAAACCGAGGAACAGGCCTTTGGCTCGAGGTCCCTCAGGTAGGTCAGAAGATGCCTGGCCTGAGTCACAAGGTCGGCTCACCCAGTGGCACGTGGAGGGAGCCCCTGAGATTAGATTGATGACGCTGCATGGGAGAAAAATCTGGGAGTCTCCACATGGCCTTGGATCTGTTTTCGAGGATCTTCGGAGCAAGCACGTTCTCAAGCACAGATCAGCAGGACCAGTGGACCAGTCGCCTGGTGGACAAGGCTTCATCGTTTGGTTGTTCGTGCTTGATGTGTTCTGAGTTCCTTTGGAATTACTTCTCTCCCGCCTCGGCTGCGCTTGGTGCAGCTTTACGGTTGTTTTAGGGTGGTTGGGGCTGGTTTAGGGCTTAGGGTTGAGGGTAGGTTTGGGCTGGTTTTTGGTTGCTTTAGGTTTGCTTGGGGTTTGTATAAGGAAAGCTTAGGTTTGGTTTAGTGCCGGTTTGGGGTTTGGAGTTTAGGGTTGGGTTTAGGTGAAGGGTTTATGGTTGGTTAGTGCTGGTTAAAGATGGGTTTGGGGTAGGTTTATGCTGGTTTAGTTTGGGTTTAGGGTTGGTTTAGTTTGGGTTTAGGGTTGGTTTAGGTGTGGGTTTCGGTGGTGGGCTTAGTGTTTGGTTTAGGATGGGTTTAGTAGGTTTGTAAGGCTGGTTTAGGGCTGGGTTTAGGGTAGGTTTAAGCTGGTCTAGGCATTCGTGCTGCTTGAAAGCTGGTTTAGGGTTGGCTTAGGGTTGGTAGGGTTCTTCGGCGGGTTTAGTACTTGTGGGTTTAGGGTGGCTTTGTTGTGGTTTAAGCTGGGTTCAGTGGGGGGGGTTAGTGGGGCTTGGGCTTGGTTTACGGTGGCGTAGGCATCGTTTAGTGCTGGTGTAGTGTGGGTCTAGGCGCTTCCCCCCGCCCTTCCCCTCACGGAGGGGCGGCTCACTCTTCCCCTGGGCCGAAAATAGGAAATGTCAAACTGAAATAGGTCTGCTTGATCCTGAACTACTGTCTGACCCGCATCCGCCTCACCCCTGCGGTCACTCTACGGCAGGTGGCCCAGGAACTTGCCTCGTTCCCCATCTTGAATCTCAATGTGGGGGGGTTCATATGGCTGTGGGTCAAACCCTGTACCCCTGGCGAACATCAAAATAGGTGGCAAATGGGCGTTCATCCCCAAAATGGAGCCATAGGTCATGCCCCATGGCCATATGGGGAACGACTCTTTTGGTTCAACGAGCCATTTCCACCCGCAAAAATTGCTAGGAGCCCGGCCGACGGCCACGAGCGGAGGCCCGGGCCTACATGGCATGAAAGGCAGGGGCATCCGCGCGGATGGCTAGGTCTAGGTCCCTGTCTTGACTACGAGCTGAAGTTGTACACAAATCATAAAGCGTGCAATATACCGTTGACGTACAAGAAGGTCCACCAAAAACCCGTTGGCAGGTGTGGACGGTCTACCCAAACCCGTGGTAAAGAATAAAAGGGCGGGTATCCGCACCTAATCGCCCTGAGTCAGGTGTTGATTGTGGCTCATTTGCTGGAGGGGGGGGGGGTGAGGGGGGCATTTTGTGGGGGGCATATGTGGGGACTTCAAGCGGGTGAAAATGGGACCCCCCACGCCCATACAAGGGTGACATTGGTTTCAAACTAGGCAACTTCCGGGATACGTCCATCCTGTGGGTGGTTCAAAAACTGTCTGAAGCAAGCGAAAATTGTGGGTTTCACTGTGACACATAGTCGAAGAACACCTCATATGATTGAGCCGAACATGGCCATGACAATTGTTGTAATCAAGGAATACAATCAAGGAATAATCAAGGAATAATCAAGGAATATTCAAGGAACCATATGTCTCATCAATGAAAGGCAAGACATTGCACAACTGATTGCTGACTTCTTGTGTATCCTGCACCCTTCACTTTTTCATATCTGCTGGCAGCTGACTTATCTGCGTGGAGACCCTTTGCGAGTCTGACTACTTCCGTAGCGCATGGGCGGCGTCACTTCACACCGAGCCTTTCGTGGGTGACCGTTCGATGGGTTCTAACCAATGGGCTCCTTTCGGATGCTACACATATGGGTGTGCGTTTTTGGTTCCCTATGAAATGTTATAGCCACATGGTGCTTTGGAGCAAGGCGATCGCCTTGCGGTTGATTAGAACCCGTTTTTCTAGGGCCACTTTCAAACTTCCTCAATCAGAACTTGTGATTTGTCTGGGATTGGGGTGCGCAACGCCGTCTCCAAAACCCCTTGATGGCCAAGACTAAATTAGAACAGCCCAGTTTGCAACCACTGAACTCCTACCGACCTCTCGTCTAGTCTTCTTGGGGGAGGCCCTTTGGAAAAAGAAACAGGACTGGACACCCAAAGCGAACCAAAGCGCAACCTGATGATTAAACCGCAGACATCGGTGTTGTGTGTTTTCTTCGGGGGTAGCATGCTACTATTCGGGGGAAGAAATTGAAAAGGAACAGTGTGTTTTGAAACCCACCACTCACAACATCCCCCTCAAAGAAAAAGAAAGATGTCCAACAATGGTCCCAGCTTCCTTGCCCCCCGCCCAAAAAAACAACGACAAAAAATCAAAAAAATGGCAGGCAAACAAAACAAAACAAAAAACGCGAGGGCCACGGACACAATGACCGCGCCCTTTCGCCGTCGCTGGCTGAGGCCCCGACCGCCGGCAAAGGGCAGCGCGCTCTCCCAGAGCTTCACCGTCAGAGGGGGCCCCGCCTCACGCACGGTTTTTGCCGTTGCTGGGGTCACTATTTTCACGGTTTCTGGGGCCTATCAAAGTCAGTAAATGGGGTTGGTTCCCTTCAAACCCACCACATTTGGGGGGTGACTTTGATGGTGGTGAAATAAAATGAGGCCAGGCCAAGTGAGCCAAGTCGGCCGGAGGTGCGATGCATCTTCTCTCACCTTACCCCTAGCGGCATTTGGCTCGGTGGTTTGGCCGGCCGAATGAATCTTCGGTGTCAACTGAAAGGCGCAGTGCAAAGGTCGAACCATGGACCCTTCCCGGGAGGCAGTCTCGACCCCTCCAATTGAAGTGTCTTACGATTCTCCAAACGTCAAAACAGGGAGGTCCAATATCGGGGTCAAAAGGAGGACATATGTTCATGACGCCCCGGAGGTGCTTCTCTTGTCTGTTGCGCTCCGCCCGGCCTCTGTGTCGATGGTGTGCTCTCGCAGCCTAAGACGAACCAAGGTCTCCACAACCGACATGGGACCCGCAACCAAGAAGGAACATCTCCCGGCAGGATCCATGTTAATGGGCGAGAGGGCAAGAGGCCAAGTCTCCACGAAAGAACGACCCATCTCCAATTGAATGCAAGAGAACAGCTGACTTCAGGCTCCCCAAAAGCCATGCCCCCATCAAGTGATTCCAGTTCACCCTACTTTCCTGCTTAGGCAACCTGGAGGCAACCACACAATTTTGCACCCAAATGAGCAGCGCCCAAAACCGACCAACGGTTGGTTCTGCCAACATGACCAACATGGTTGAAAAGGCTTGTATGCCCATGGGGCAAAATGCAAATCGTACTGCCAGTGAACATCCCAATCCAACCACTCCAAAAATGGCTGGTGAATTCACCTACCCACCAAAATGGGACCCCAAAGCGGTTTTGACAACAGCCATAGGCGATAGACGACCACAAGCCAGGTGGAACCTGGAACTCTGGGGCCAAAGGCGTGGGGCTCAATGCGCCCAGGCCATCAGAGTCCAACCTCGCAGTCGTTTGCCCACCAAAAGGGTGGGTCGCCGAATGGAAGGCGCCAAAGGGTCCACCAAAGAACCCATCCAAGCCGAATGAGCAGTGGCCAAGTTCTGCCTAGATTATAAACATCTACTACGGATCATTCAAGAAAAACCTCGCAAAACGATAGTAGAACAACCTAAAATGGCCAATGAGGGTGTTGGCCGCTCAAATGGAAATAGCAACTAACAATGCAATCGCTTCAATGAAGCCAGCCCCTCTCACGCCTGACTTGGGAAAGACTCTGGAAGTGAGCCTAGAGACGGCATAGAGCTTCTATTTGCGCTGATACAGCTCTCATGATGTGTGTCTGTTTCGAGTGCTCACCCTTTTTTCAGGGTTTGGATCCTTCAACACTTGTGTTCACCGGGAAATCGTGGCATGAAAGCCACTTCCGCAACGCAAAAGCGCACAAACCCCCATCAACGCATGTGCTTTTGCCCTCATTGGGGATGTGCCAACAGTTCGGACCCCTTCAAGTGCTGGTTTCATATTAGATCTTGGAAATGAACCCGAAACGGGTCCGACTCGATCTGCAACCCCAATCTTCGGCAGAAAGACTATCTAGTCCTTACCCAGGGTCCTCGGAAAGACTAAAAACAAAGCCAAATTGCACATGCTCCCGCCGCGTGGGTTTTTCTCTAGACGATTTTGTCGGATTCCCAGGACCGTTCCCCTGTCTTTTAGGCTTCACGCTCCACTCCCGCCCACCCGGCTGCGGCTGTGGCCCCCGCGAGTCACACGACAAGCGCCGCCTCGGCGCTTAGGAGTCCAAGAGTCCAAGCTCGGAGCTTTCAAGAGGCGATCGATTGTCTCTTGTTGTATTGGTTGAGCCGGGACCCTTACATGAAAAACACCTGAACATTGCAACTTGCAAATGGTGGTTTCCAACTTTATTTTGGTGTTGAAAAGGCAACATGTTTCAAATGGTTGCGAAATGTATCTTTTAAGGAGCCCTGTTGAGGGTTGTGTGCTTCAAAAAACGAATGAACCCTTGGTTCTGAACAGAACAAACAACTCCAAAAACATCGTCGCAACGTTTCGCGTGGAGCGGCGTGTGGCCAATGCCAACACAGCGGCACTGTCAGGTTCCACGGAAGATACGAGGCACCTCGTGGGCCTTCACCCAATTGCTTAGTGATTATGGAAGCAGCCGGGATTCCATCCTTAGTGGGCGGAGGCCGAATTTAGATAGCCCGGGTACTGCAAAGAAGGACGGAATCTGAGCCGCGTGGTCGAAAGGCAAGTTTCGCCATGGAGGAAGGCCAGGGCTCCCCGAATAGAATCCTTGAAAACGCTTGCCCAACTTCCCCGTTGAATGGTTGACGGCCATGCCTGCCAACGCCCAAGTCACAGGTGCTTTGACCATGCAGTTGCATCAGCAAATCCCAGTTTTCCGCAACCATACCCCCCCTTGTAGGTGGTTCAAAGAAAGCACGAGGCAACCATGCATAGGGCTCCCTATCAACCTAAAACCCAAGCTTCCACAGCCAGGGGACTTGAAACATCACCCCATGCGAAGGAAACTCACTTTAGGGACCAAAAGGCGACGTTTTACACTACTCTAGGGGGAAAGGCTCCCTTCTCCCATCCAAAGGAAACTCACTTTTGGGACCAGAAGCTGATGTTTAAAACCGATCTAGGGGAATGTCCTGGCCATGGGTCAAAATCCCGTACCCAGTGAACATCCCAATCCCAGCTAAAATAGACGGATAGACTAAACTGGGCGGTGCAACTACGCCAACATGGTACCATTGGTTTTGACCCACAGCCTCCTTTCCTTCCCGACTTCTCCCCTTGAACCACGCACCTCGCGGCCAGCTTCGCGGCTATGGCCGCCGCCAGCGCACTTGCCACGCCTACGGCTATGGGAGTTTGCCCGAAGGCTCAGCTGGCCCAAAAAAAAACGGGCTTACCTTATGGGGGCTGGGAAAGGGGGAGGGGAAGGGAGCCCAAAGAAGCCCTAAAAAGGCCTTAATAGGGCTAAATAAGGGTTTTTTGGGGCTCCCTCCCGCTCCTCCCCTCCCTCCCCCCCGGCCTCCATGATTGCCCAAGACCCACCATGTGAGGAGTCAACTACTCCCCCGATGTCTGGTTCTTTTTGTCTTTTTCCCACGGAACCCAACTAACTCACTTCCTGAGTTGATGGGCAAACAAGAAAGTCCGAACTTGTTGTTTGCCACTAAAATGGTCTTCCCAAAAAGTTTAAAGTTCACGAACTCAGGAAGTGAGCTAACCATCATCTATAAGGGGAATATCTTTTGTTGGAGATGGCCCCTTTTGAGGATCTCTTCCATTTTCATTGGCTCCCCTCCGCCTCAGACCCCCCTTCCGTCCTCGGCGAAGCTGCGATCGAGCCATGGCATCGGCGACTCCAGGGGGGAAGGCGCATGGATACGGCAACCTCGATAGAGACCTTTGCCTTGATCTAAAACTCCTAGTAAAAGGTTGATGACCCTCCGTTCTTCGGCTTCTTGAGAGAATGCGCCAGAAAAGGGGGGTCACACCCGTTCCCATCAAACATCGCCTACCAAAGGATTCTGTGAGTTGAGCTGGCCGAAAAGCTAATGTTCAAAACTGCCGGAAATATGAAAAAGAGAAGTTTTGACCGCAGCAAACGACTCACGCCCGTCATCCTTTCAGATTCCTATGGCTGAATCCCAGGAAGAAATCCCAGCAAAACTTGAGACCCACACGATTCTCGTGTGGTGTTGGTCCTTTGCCTGGGTGGGCTTGCAGTTTGGCTGCAAAAAACGTGCTGCGGCAAGAGGAGGCGTTTCTCAAGCGAGAACCCGGCCAAACAGGCCAGTCTTCTGAAAGCATGGCAATACCTCGGCAGCCGTTACAAGAAGTTGTTTTTCAAGGTCCTCCATTAGTGGGTCTCCTTCCCACACTGAAGGTAATGTTGCGCATCAAGGCACGCTCTCTACCACCTGTCGCAAAACAAGTGACTCACAACTGTCCGATGAAAAAGACATATGCTCAAAGCCATTTGTTCATTGAAGTTACAAGTCTCGTGCCAACTTCCCAGATCTTGATTCAGGAAACATCTTCCCACGCACACGCGCCCGAAACAGCGGCTCCGAAAAGCATAGCTTCTACACGCACGCGGCACAATGTGTGCCTTTGCTGTTTGTTGCGCGACATCAGACTGTGCTGGACTGGGTCGGGCGCAGAGTGGACCATGCAAAACATGATGTCACAAATGAGAGGTCCCACATGCTCTCTGCAGCTTCCCCCCTGCGTGGGGTCCGTTCTGCACCCATGCGTCCAATGTGTTTTCTTGCGCCAGCTTCCAGGCGCCCTATGCACAAGGTGAAACCGAGCGAGCTCAGAAGAGGTTGCCTGCCAACCGCGTGGCGGCTTTCCGACGAAGTCTTCGCTCAAAGGAGTGGGAGGGGCAACGGTTGCCTGGTATCACGGAGGGAAGAGGAATCTCGTTCCAACAGCCCAAAGTTAACTGTCATTCGAAAATACCTGGAAATGGTGACTTGTTCAACGGGCAATGATTGAAGAGATAACCGTGGTCCCTATTACATATTTCTGTCCTCCGTGCCAACGTGGATGTATCAAATGAAACAAAAGCGAGTGCGACAGCACATGACGGGGCACATGACTCTGTGAAACCCACCTCCCCAACCGCCCCCAACCTCCCCACCCCCAACCTCCCCACCCCAACCACCCCCCCCAACCTCCCACCTCCCTCCACCCCCAACCGCCCGGGGGTAGAGCGCACCGCACTGGGCCCCCGAGCTGTTGAAGCCCAGCGGCAGATCCGAGCCTGAGGACTCGGTGTCGGAGTCCTGACAGCAAGCGTCCCCATGGGGTGAGGATCCCCATCCGGAGTCAGACTCAGACCACTGGCCCTTTTGGCGGTTTGGTTTCAAGAGCGCAAAAGCTGGAAGCCTTGGCACTTGGGATTTGGGGGGGGGGGAACTTCCTGGTTTGGACTCTGCGACTTGGCAGGGGAAAAGCGGCGTGTCGCTGCCGGCAGGTCCAAGGTGCCAATGTTTGGTTGCAAAGCTTGCTGAGCAGCATGATGATCTCATTCGGGCGTCCCTGGTGCCATTTTGCGCCGACTTAGGCCCCAGGGTCACTCATTGGACACCTGCCCACAAAGGGGAGAGACACACACACACAGACACAGACAGACACAGACAGACACACAGACACACAGACACACAGACACACAGACAAAAAGACGCACAGACGCACAGACGCACAGACACACAGACACACAGACACACAGACACACAGACACACAGACACACAGACACACAGACACACAGACACACAGACACACAGACACACAGACACACACACACAGACACACACACACACAGACACACATACACAGACACACATACACAGACACACACACACAGACACACACACAACACACACACAGACACACAGACACACAGACACACAGACACACAGACACACAGACACACAGACACACAGACACACAGACACACACACACACGTGGTCTTTTGATTGCAAGCACTTGTTAATACAGCACCGCGTTTTCCGGAGGGATGCTGATCTGACTTGAAATCAATCAGGGACTTGCTTCGCGCCTCCGGAGGCGCAGCTGCAGCAGCCTGCGTGGCATAGATGCGCCGTTCAGATCGAAGTTTGGCTTTTGGCGGCTCGGTTGCCTTTGTTGCTGGGGTTACAGGGAAACCAAAAGGACACAAAAGCACCATTTTCAGGGTCCCCAAGTTTTGACATACCAAAATGAGCAAAACGCCTGAGGAGGGTTTCTTGCATTCAGGATTAAACACATACACATAAGGATGAACCCTTTTGTTGCCAAGGACTATTCCCCCCATTCGCCCGGGGAAAACGAGGCGCCCTTTGTTGTTGGTTGATTTTGAGGGGACCCCCTCAGGAAAAAAAAGGAAGAAAAAAAAAGGAAAAAAACGACGCCACCGGCTGGCTGATGGCTCCCATGGACCAAAAGAACTCCCTCCAAGTCTCGCCTTGGCGGCCGCCTCCGCCATGCGCTTTTGCCGCTCCTCGCGTGAAGAAACAAACTCGGAAGGAACGTGGAACACTCCCTCGGAACGGCCGGAAGCTCCCCCCCCCCCAACAAGGCCGATCCTGTAAATAGAACCAAGCCTTCTTTAGAAAGTGCTGGGAGAATCCATGTTAGTCTGCGGGAGGGAACCCAGGAAACATGGAACTAGAGTGGGCCCAACATGGTTCCTCTAAAGCCAAAAATGAGGGCTTCCCCTCTCCGAAAGGAGATCCTTCAGTCAACGGATGTTGTTTGCGCGCTCATCTGCGGCATAGCTGGGCTTCCCGACTTCTTCTTTAAACCAACAAAAACGGCCAAGTCGGGTACACAGCCGTGAGTCCGTTTGGAAAGCAACATGGACTGGTGCTTTTTGCAGGGGGTGTTTGGGCAAGAGTGTAAATGCTCATTGAGGTAACACTCTCAAAGACTATTCAAAACAGCTGCCCCCCAATGTCGGCTTAAAAGAAGGCCGCCCAACAAATTTGTGATTTTGAAAACACCCGCCAGCCCCAAAAGTGAATCTAACTGCGACAACTTATAAAGAGGCCCACCTCCATGCCCGTCTTGCCCAGGCCGCGCACGTCCGAGCTCCTCCTCCGCTTTGCGCGCCGCCTCCCGGCGCTTCCTCTCCTCCTCTTTCGCCTTGGCCTGGGACCAGCGTACTCCAAAGGCTCAAGGGAACAGATCGCCTCGGGTAGACGTCACCCACCAGTGGGTCATTCCCCCGCCCCCCGCAACCCCGAAACGGGAACAACTAGGTTTAGTCTTGGAATAGTCGAATCCTGAAATCATGCCCTAGAGAAACACGTCTTCGAGCAAAGGTGATGATTACAACCAAGAGAATTGGAACAAACATACTCTCCTGCAGAAGCACGTGGAACCCAAACAGCCCTCATTGGAGGAATCTCCTTTTGGGAGTTGGACCCCCTTTGGGTCTCCATTGGCCGTGATATCGTCTTACTCCCCATGAGCTTGCCTTGAAGCAACCTCCCTGGGGGTCTCATTCCGCGAAAACAAACAAAAAGGGAAACCCGGCATCAGCCTGGTGAAGCCGGGCCCCCGGAAAAGTCGCTCCTTTTGCAAAGGACCTCCATGAGCGGGTCCTTGCCGAATCAGCGGGCCCTTTCTCAAATGGGTGCTTCTCAAAGTGGAGTGCGGATCCCCTCTTGGCTCGAATTTGCTCTTCGAAGCCAAAAGGGCACCAAATTGTTGGTTTTTGTCCCTTGACCCGCACCAAACAACAAGTTGGTTGATTTTGGCTTTCCGTTCATTTCGGCGTCCCTTGAAATAACAGCCAGGGGAAGTCAAGTGGTAGCTTCAACAGAAACCAACCAGTTTCTGACTTTGAGCCATGGTCAAAATTAAAGTGGGTGTGCCTCTTTCTAGGGACCCCCCAACATGGTTAAACCAACTCCCAAAAAGGGTACCCAGAACAAGAAAAAACACGACAAACAAAAACACCCCCCCCCCCCTCGCGAAAAACATAATGACGTCATTTTCACGTCACCCCATAAAAACGCCTCCTGAACTCCCCCTCGGCCCCAGGCAGCTTCCTCCTCCCGCCTGCGCCTCTCCTGAACAAAATCGGAAAAAGAGCCCCAGAGACATGTAGCCGTGGGTCAAAGATCGGGTAACCCCAAAATGGCTTGCCCTGGTAAATGGAAACATGGACTAAAACCTGTGGTCCAATTCCTGGTGGTTTAATTTTGACCCATACCCATGGCAGACTCTGACGAAAACAAAAAGCATCGAGCGCATGAGGCAAGCGTTCTTACCTTGCAGTGTCAAACTTCTGGACACACGCATAGGTAATTCAATGGTTTTAATAAGGTCCAAAGGAAATAATGTGTCTAGCTACGTATGACACTACTCAGGAAACAACAGAAAAGGATGACAGCCACAGATACAACGTCACTAATGGACACATCAGATATAGTATGTCCAGTGGATCAGTCCAGGCCCGAGAAAGCAAAGAAGAAAAACAAAACACAAAAACCACTGAATCAGAAAGGGCCCAACACCTGGCGAAAGCCAAGCCAACACTTCCCCAGAACTCTTGATTGTGTCGTGGGTTTTTGCTTGTTGCTTTCTAGGGATTCTGCAAAACGATTCAACCTCTTGCAATCTGGATCAAGGAAAACCCTAGAAAACCTTCATGGAGAGCTTGTTTTACACATGCACACACACACACACACACCAAAAGGTGCCTACCTGAACGAGCCTGTCTGGGCCTATCGACCCCATAGCTTTCGGCTGTTGCGGAAAAAGAACTTCTGATCCTACACCCCCCACCCCTCCCAATACATGTACATATATATATATATATGTATAAAGGTT